AATTTTTTCCTTATTTTTATTCTGAAATTGTATTCAACGTTAAAATGAAAAATACTGGGCTTCATGTTTATATAGCTCCATCTGGCAAAACTTTGAAAACATTTCAACATTGTATTGAGTTTAAAGTTTTTTACTGAAAGTCTTGGTTATGTTACTTCTATCTTGCTGACCTATGCTGATGTTTCTCAATCTTTTAAAAATCAATATCCCCCTTTGATAAATAACAAAAACTTTATACTCTTTCTATAGTTGGTATTATACTACAATACTGAATACGCTTTTTAAAGCTGGCAGGTACCCTCACCCATTCTAATATACTCCCATAGAAAATAATCACTGAACATTCAAATGCAATGTGGTAGATTATAGGCAATCTTTGTTTCTATGTAAGAAAAACCTTAATCGAAGACCAATATATGATTCATTACTATATGACTCATTTACACTATGACAACCTTAACAAAGGTTGATACCTTGAACTGAAATGTCACTTAACGTTCAATGTTGTTAAGGTGGATGCTGTACCTGTATATATACTAAGAAGGAGTTCAGAATGTATTTGTACTTACTTTAGCAGTAAAAAGAAAACAATGCGAAAACATCCCAAAACATGACATTTGGTATCTGCCTTTGGTATCTGCTAGGAAGAGTGTCAATGGGCAGAAGTCAGAGCTTTGATACTATCAAAGTGCCAGCTTTGATCAACCCAAGAGAGATTTGCCTTTTGCCTCAGAAATGATGGTCTGCGGCAGTATAGCAAGAGTGACCCTTGCAGTGGAATTAAGGGAAAAATGATCATAGTACAGACATGTGGACTCACTACTTCAAAAGAATTATACATTCTTCCCCAACTGAAGATCTAGAAGGCACAACCAGAGAACTGAAAGAAATGGTAGCTCCTTGAAGACAGGGATTTTATTTATTTATACGTACTCACCAGGGGTATGTATCTCAGGCACAAACAGGTATTTAAAAAATATTTGTTGCTGAGAGAAGATAAATGTTAGACAACTGTGGTACTGTCTTGGCTACTCTTCCCTAGCTTTCTTCCCTTCCCATCCCAAAAGAAGAGCTTTACTGCTCACTGTACCAATTCAAACAATACATGCTCACTGTGACAATACCAATGACTGGAAAAGATTTTATAAAGAGGAAAATTAAGACAAAATCACTCTAGATCCTACTATCCAAAAATAATGACTTAAAATATTTAACCAATCCCAATTTGGGACGTTTGTTTCCAGTCTTTTCCTATATTAAACAATAGAGAGAAACGTTGTTGTACATATATCTTTGGGTACTTGTCTATGATAAATTCCTAGATAACACAATTGCTAGGTCAAAGGATATATCCTTTTATAATGTTTTTGACACAAATTACCAAACTTCCCTCCAGAAAGATAATAGCTCTTTACAGCCTATGGAAAGTGTGGTCCTTCCTGTCCTCACTGTGATGAAAACATATACAAGGGTGGAAACTGTATATAGAAGCCTGGCCCATGAGAAGAGGAAAAAAAGCACAGGAGAAGAACACTAACGAATAAGAAAGACGAAGACAACTAAAACCTATACAATTTTACTTCTCTATTTCTACTGCGCTCCGGAAAATTGTATGTATTCCCATCTAAGAGTAGAAAAGGACAAGAAAGTAGACTTTTATCTATTTGTCTCAATCAAGAGACAATAGAAAAATACCTCTCTTGGATTAATTATCTGACACTTTTGTCTCCACTTATCTTGCCTGTCTTTCTTTGGTTTACTTTTCCTCTAAAGTATAACCAGAGGTTGTAAAATGGAAGCCTGGATAGATGCAGCTGAATTTTGGTCTACTTTGTTTAATCTACACAGTATAGCAATTTAAAAAATTTGGATGTATTCCGAAGGGTCATGTGCACTCCAGTTCACACAATCCCTAACATTTACCTTCTTAAATTTCATCATTCTACTTATTTAAGATATCTGCTTAGTCCTGGTGGCATTTGTTCTCTTTCACATAAAATAACCATAAGGAACTTAAATATTATATATTAGTGGTTTGGAGGATACTATTCTATGTCACTTAATAAATCTGTATACTTAAGCCTAGTCTTAAAGAGGGTTTTGTTCCTAAACTCAGTATCAAGAGGAATCTTAAGCAACAAAGTAGGACACAAGATTTCAACTGTTAACTGCTACTTAGCTTAGGCATTTTATTTTCAGGAAATCATCACACTTACTACATTATGGGTATTTCAAAACCCAAAACCCTTGGCCCTTTTAGAATTGCTAATGAGCTGGGGCAACATACACAGTGGTTAAGAGTGTGGTTCCTAAGGTAGACTGCATGGGTTCAACGTCTGGTCTAGTCAATTATACTGTGTGACCTCAGGTAAGCTAACCTCTCTGTGTCTTAGTTAGCTTGTCTGTAAAAATAAGCATAAGAGTAGTAGTTACTTCATAGGGTAGTTACAAAGATTAAATGTCACCATTTATGAAGTACTCAGAACAGTGCTTGGCACAAATATGCATA